ATGAGAGAGTATAGATCTGCATCAGATTACAGCCCCTCTGCGGATACATAATAATGAAGTGTCTGGGACAGTGGAGTAGAGTGTGTGAGCTCATTGGTGTGTGTTCAGTGTAAGAGACACAGTAAGAGACAGTGTTTAAACACGTGGCCTTGTGCCCTGTCATCCACCACCAGTCGACTCCCTGCATAGTGGACATATATATATTAAATTATTTATTTTACACACACAAACGCACACTTCAAGAAAACGTAAAATCCAAATAATTAAAAAGATTACTGGGAAAAACTTAACTAAAAAAAAAAAAGATTAGCAGAGAATCTCACACATCAGCACACCCAAACACATGCTAACAATAAAGGTTTTCCTCAGTCCTCCATTGTCTGGCTCCGTCCCTGGTGAGTGAGTCCAGAATTCTACACCAACCTTAAAGAGCTTCTTCACTCTGTCATCAGGACCAAAAACACTGCATGCATGAAGTTAGAAGAATAAATAGTGAAAAGAAACAACTAACACATCTGGTGAGTGGGAAGAGACAGAGCAGAGGGTTCGGATCAGCGCAGTGAATCAGCAAAAGAAGGTTCAGGAGGAAAAATATGGAGGGTCACTCCATGACAACTGGAGAGTCTGTAGTTTTTAGTCTCGTTAGATTGAATATACAGTAGGTCTTTGGAACCTTATCTTTACTCTTCACTTTAATTCAGACTGATAAACAGATAAAATAGCAACATTTCAAAATGTGGAGAAAACATTAGCCTCTTAAGAGCAGATTTATTTATTGGGCTTCAGCATAAAACCACTCGACTAATAACATAAGAAGGCTGCAAGTGTTTAAAATACATTCAAAAGGTATCCATATTTTTCACAACTTAGCTAAGGGTTTAAATTATTGCTATAGTGAAGATACTATAGCAAAATTAAAAAAAAACAATTGAAAATAAAAGTTGATTTAGACCTTAGAAAAGGATGTTAATGTTTATGTAGCAGGACAGAGTGACTCATAAGCAGCAGAACCAAAAAAACAAAAGAAAGAAAAGAATATTCCCAAAATAAAACCACTTACAAGAAAACTAGTAAGATATTTTAATAAAATTACTCCCAAAACATGAGTACAAAAATGACCAAATACTATAAGAATTGAATCATATAGTACCACACAGCTCCATTCATCCCAACATATAATATAAATATGAAGTATGTTTGCTTTATATTTAAATGTATATTTAATCAATTTTTAATGTAGGTGGATCACTTCATCCTGGTCATTCGAATATTAGATCCCAGCCAAAAAGTGTAGGCAGCCCAGACTTTGACAAAAAATGTAGAGATGAATGTGAAGATGACAAACACTGAGGCAGTCAGTTTGGTCCAACATGACCAAGCTACTGCATCTACTGCCATGTTTGGAATAAGAAGGCAGAGGCGTGCAAAGAACATCGCCCCCACAGTGAAACACACTGTGCTGTCAGTGTGTCCAGAACTGGAAACATATTTTGAATTAGCAATGATTTCTGGGACCTTTATTGACACCATCTTCTTTAACCTTGGTCATTTATAGGTTCTCAGTTCCTTAAATGGAACAAACAAATGTCTCTTTAACACTTGCTCTAGTGTTTGATGATCATCATCTCCTCATTATGTACAGCCATTCATTTTTACATTTCACTTCCACAGATGCTCGCTCTGCCCTTCTCTTCTCTCACTGCTCCTGCCTGATAAATGCACTTTGTCCTCCTCTGCTCTGACATTCTCTTCTTCCTCTGCTTCTGCCCAATTTTTATGGATTTTCTTCTTCTCTGCATTTTCTCAAGCTCCATTAATTTTAACAACTTCTTTAGATCCGAGATGAGACAAACCAGTTTGTTCAGAGACAAACCTAACAGACAACACTTGCTTACATACATGAACTTTAATTAGTTACAAAAACAATGCAATGGCCGGCACATGCCTTCCCAGTGTAAGTGACAGGTGTTTGATCAGTGGGTGGTGCCAACATGGCTGACCACCTGTGAAAGTGACAGTGCAGATTTGCAGCAGGGAAGCAATGCATTTTGGGAATCAAACAGAAACTCAGAGTGAAAATGAGAGAGATCAATAAAAGATGTGTGGAAGTCACAGAGGGCAACAATTCAAACATAAATGGAGAAAAGAAACATAGCTAACAGCTCAATTACACCCGAGGAAAGGAAACACTGTGGTGGGTTTTGGTAGATGACTAATTTCAGGTTTACATTTTAGACAAGTAATAGATAAACAACCAATTGATTTAAATGGACTTCTCATACTAACAAATGAAACACCTTATACCGTATAATTATTTTTTATATCATAAAGGACTTGTTACTTATCTTATGAATGCAGATTTTTTGGTGGCAGTTTTTGAAGCTTTCTGTCTCATTCCCCTTGCTATTCTATTCTATTCTATTCTATTCTATTCCATGAAGCCAACAGCAGCCACAGCTCATTAAAACTTGTGTCATTCCGAGTCATCTGAACCAGCAGTGAACGTCCATATACAATTCCCTCTTGTGAGAACAACACATTGATGCTGGTGTTTGTTGTGCTGCTGTACAAAACTGAAAGCTGAAGTAATTCAGTATTTTTCTTGATGGTTAATGAAAATGTAACCTTTCAGCAAGTAATGTGAGACCACCTCAGATACCAGATGGTCACGGCTCTCAACTCTCTGTCCCCTTCTGTTCGTTTGTTTTGATCCTAAACAGTGAGTCTACATGAGGGTTAACCCAGAGTCGTTGACACACACACACACACACACACATTAAGATTGGGATTTGACACCATTGCAGATGGTGTCTTATGGTTTGTTTACGATGTGTTGTTCCACATGAGTGCGCTTTCCTGTTCAGATACTAGCTGACCCTCGACCTCTGACCTTTGTCTCTTAACAGAGCAGACAGTTGCTGTTAAAGCACAGAGGTTGTTGCACTGTGAGTATCCACAGCATCCTGGGACAAGGAATTTAACTGGTACAGCACAGCTGTACTGTCAGAGAACAGGAGAATACTGGACTGGTGATTATGCAAATGTACACAATAAAGTCTTTCCTACAGCATTTTTTTCTTATTATTTGCCAATTAGGTTGTGCAAGCACAAGACAAATTACATTTCATCAAGCTCTTAAAGACTTACTGTTTAATGGGGTGGTTTCTATTAAATCATTTGCTAATGTTCATGTTTCCCAGAAGACAAAACCCACCCTGTTTAGGAAAACGCCTTAGCTTTTATCTATAATCATGAGGTTTCAACCTTGAGTAAAATATCTTCAAATT